TCGCGGACGAAAGCTCGAGATCCCCAGACACGGAACGCAGACGCATCGCCAACCTTCCACGTCCACCACAGAGTAGGTTTGGACTCTTGCAGGGAGACCCGAGGCTGAAGGTTGATCTGATGCGCTGCGTACTGAACCGCGAACGGCCACAGAAAATAGGGAGCAGCCGCATGGATCATGGACGTACGAGCGACGTCCATGACCATGCCAATGCGGCGCTCAGCAATCCCATTTTGCTACGGAGAGGCCGGAAGTGTGAACGTCTGGCGGATGCCCTCCGCATGACAGAAGGCTCGCAGAAGGTCGGAGGAAATCTCTCCACCTCTGTCGGAGTGCAGACGCAGAACAGGAAGGTCCGAGCCGAAGCTCTCGCTGAGCTGACGACGGGCAGCGTGGATCCAGTCGATAAGCACCTCAGTTACCTCACCCTTGTGGCGCAAGGGGAAGACTGTGGTGTAACGCGAGTAGTCGTCAACGACCAGCAGAAAGTAGTGCTCGTGACCCTGTCCACGGACGCGGGCCGGGCCCCACACGTCCATGTGAAGAGTCTGCAAGGGAGCCTCCGTGGGAGGAAACTCGGAGGAGTGAGGGGCGGCGCGCTGCCGACCCTCGACGCAAGGAACGCAGGTAGGGGCAGGTCCCAGAAAGAGGGGAGGGAGAGACTGGGGAAGACTAGTGACAAGGACACGGGAGGCCATGCCTCGGAGACGAGGCAGGGAGGGGTGACCAAGGCGGTGGTGCCAGAGGAGAGTCTGGTGAGACAGGAGGCGACGCGAGCAGGGGGCAGACTCAGGACCAGACCGGGACGCTGCAGCAAACACCTGACCCGACGCAGCTACCTGACTAGACTCAGCAACCGGAGGAGACACGGTAGACAGGGTGTATAGGCTCGACACAGGCTGACGAGTGAACGTGGCCAGGTGACGGCCCGTCCGAGTACACGAACAGTGGGTCACTCGCTGACCTCCAGGAGTGAACTGGTCAACCCAGGCGCCCTGAAGGTCAGCTCCACTGACCAAGTTCGTGGAGAATGAGGGGAGGTGGAGGCCAGACAGAGAGCCAGACGGGACCGCCGGACACGGCAGGACTGTGGAGGAGTGCGCAAGGACCGGACCCCCAGAGGGGTTAGCCAAAGAGACTGCCACCGGCCGACTGAGCGGCGAGAGTGTGGTGCAGTCGCGAAAGAAGGAGCGGGAAGCACCCGAGTCAAGGGTGAAAGTGTGTAAGGCCTGAGCCGACACGGTACCTGAGAGAGCAGACTCACCAGTACCTGGGGCAGCAGACTCACCAGCACATGGAGCAGCAGACTCACTAGCACCTAGAGCAGCAGCCTCAATGCCCGGGTCGGGCGGAACACACAGGTAACAGTCACCCTCAGTACTAATAGACATAACATACATAGCAGCAAGGATAGCATCATAATCAAGATCAAAGATAGCAACCCCCGACTTAAGCAAATCACCCCAGCGAGGGATCTCAGAGGAGTCGGGAAACTGCGTACGCCAAGCGTCAGTCAGGCGGCCAAAGCAGCGCAGTGTGGCATGCGGTCCTCCACACGTCTCCCCACTGCGGTCGCCGGTGCGGAGAACGTAAGTGCAGGGACCAGCACCCCCAGACCTCCCACGCCCAGCGTACCACTCACGAAGCTGCTGGGGCGACAGGGTCTCACGAGGGCGCTACTGCTGCTGGCGCTATCCACCGTCAAAGCCTCCCCGTTGCACAGCGCCACCTCGACCAGTACCACCGCCGCCGCCACCCCCACCGCCGCCTCCGCCGCCGCCACCTCCACCCCCACTGCTGCTGCCTCCGCCGCCTCCACCTCCACTGCCGCCACCGAAACCCCCACTCCTGCCACCACCCCCACCTGCACCCCCACCGCCTCTGCCGCCTCCACCGCCACCACTGCCGCCCCCACTATCTCCTCCAGCACCCTTGCCCCCCTTGCTCCTGCCATTGCGGCGCCTCCCACTAGGAGCAGACGCGGCGCCGACCGACTCGGAGCGAACGAGGTCGACAGCAGTAGCAGAGGCAACAGAAGGCAAAAGGGGAATGGGGGAGCACCCCTCAAAGAAAGGGGCACGAGGGTCACCACGAGAGGCTCCTACAGCGAATATACTCTTCTCGGCTACTAGGAGGCGCTCCTCGAGGAGATCAACGGTGAGTGCGGTGGGGCAAAGGGAGAGGAAGTGGTCCCTGACCGAGCGAAGGGAGTCAGGGAGCCGGGTGACAAGGTAGTAGAGAGTGATGTACATAGGGGGGGGGGGTTCGCGGCGCAGAACTCGGCAGGAAGCGCAGCGCGGTAGCGGGTGTCACTAGTGCGGAGGTGCGTAATGAGGTCAGCTACTGTGGCAAAATCGGCTAGGTCAGGGAACAGGTATGGCAGCATGAGGCGGCTAAGGGCAGCAGTGGCAGGGGAGGAGTAGCGCACAACAACAGCGTCGTACAGAGTCCTAGAGGTCTTGTACTGGCTAAAGTGCGCGTGCTCAGCAGATGGCAGGTGACTACGAATAGCAAGACGGGCAGCAGCATCGCGTGTGGTCCACTGCGAGCGAACCGTACTGTCAGCATCAGCAGCAGGTGCACCAGAGGCGCCAGACGCGAGATAAAAAAGCGAGACTTCGTCCTTGCTATCGCACTGCAGAAACAGCTGCAGATCATCGACCCAGACCTCAAAATCGACCGCTCGACCCTCAGCATGGAAGGTAAGGACATTAGGGCTAGCCATGACTGCAGGGGCAGCAGCAGTAGCAGCAGGAGCAGCGCGACTTGCAGGGGTGGCGCGGCTCGGTAGGGCGGTGCGGGTGCGGCGGTGCTCTTACCAGTGGCGGGAGGGGAGAGGCCGCGACTGGTGGGGCAGGGCCGTGGCGCACCAGCAGGGTAAGGGCCGCGATGAGGCGGCAGGGCAGGGCTGCGGCTCGGCAGCAGGATAGGGCCGCGGCTCGGCGGCAGGACAGGGCCGCGCTAGGGCAGGAGGGCAGGGCCGGGACGGCGGGGCCGCAGCGGCGACGGCAGCGGCGGTCACTCTGGCGTCAGCAGGGGCGGGCGACGGCTGTTGCTGCAGGGTAGGGGCCGCGACGAAGGGGCGGGCAGGGCCGCGTTGAAAGGGGCGGGCAGGGCCGCGTCGAAGGGGCTGGCAGGGCCGCGTCGAAGGGGCGGGCAGGGCCGCGTCGAAGGGGCGGGCAAGGCCGCGTCGAAGGGGCGGGCAAGGCCGTGTAGGGCCGCGACGAAGTGGCGGGCGGGCCGCGAAGGGCCGCGATGAAGGGGCGGGCGGGCCGCGACGAAGGGGCGGGCTAGCCGCGCAGGGCCGCGACGAAAGGGAGGGGCGGTCGGGCCGTGACGAAGGGGCGGGCGAGCCGCTAAGGGTCGCGTAAGGGCGGCAGGGCGGGCCTCTAAGGGCCGCGACGTCAGGGCAGGACGCTAAGGGCGGCCGTAGGGCAGAGCCCGAGGCGCGCTTCGAGCAGGGCAGGAAAAAAAAAGTTTTCAGGTGGTGGGCCCAACGGTCCCACTAGGGAACCCGCTCTATACCATGTGAGAATTGTACGAGGAATGAATGAACTAGGAAAGAGGTAGGTACAAATATGCAAACCTAAAAGTGTTGTACCCCATATTATCAACCCCACTACAGCCTAGAATATGGTTCTGACACCATTTATAATTCACAATTTGCTTTCAATGCTTTTTTGCACCTATTCAGCACTTGAAATGTTGTGTTTTTCTGAAGTGAAGTCTCAAAACCATCCAAACAATTTAGTAAAATGGTTTTTTTTGAAAGTGTGTAACACTCTCTAAAAATGTGCATTGTGAAAGCGCAGCTTACTGTAGCGAAGCAAGGCAACGGCGAATTACTATTTGCCGAGTACATAACGAGGGTTGGAGGCCTTTTGGCCTCCACCCACGTCTTCATTTCGGAACTTTGCAGTTCCATTCCATTCTCGTCCAACCACCTCGTCGTTCCACTTTCTCCTAGCGTTCTCGTTCAACTTTCTCATTCATAGCTCTCCTTTTTATAGAAGGCGATGGCGCTTTGCACCAGAACGCCGATTTTAGGAGAGGGCTTATACGCGCCCACAGCTGTACCTTTCTGCCAGTGGGCGCGCGTGACCCAGCGGGCCCGGACTAAGTGACAAAATCGCCTCAGGCGCGCCTGTGACGAAATCGCCTCAGGCGCGCCTGAGACGAAATTGCCAATGGTGCGCTTGAGACGAAATCGCCTGTGGTGCGCTTGAGACAAAATCGCCAGCTCCCCTGAGTCGAAATCGCCAGCTCCCCTGAGACGAAGTCGCCAGCTCCTCTGAGGCGAAGTCGCCAACTCCCCTGAGGCGAATCGCCAGCTCCCCTGAGACGAAATCGCCATAGGCGCGCCTGACGACAAAAGCGCAACTGGCGCGCCTGACGACGAAACCGCCAGTGGCGCGCCTGGCGACGAAATTGCCTGACGAGATTGCCACCAGCGAAACTGACAACGAAATCGCCACTAATGCGACGGATGACGATATCGCCACAGTCGAGCCTGACGAGATTGCAAGGGCGCGCCTGCAAAAATTGTGGTGTGACAAGGCGAAAACGCCATGGACATGACGGGACGCCTCCGCTACATCAACCGCTGCAACTTCTACCGGCAATGCGGACGTGACGCCTGCACCGTTATTATCATATTTTATTGCAACACGGGTATGTGTTTCCATTTTTTCAAATTGGTCAATAATTATATGTCTTCTCTGCTCTGGTTTTCACTGATCGCAGTTTGCAGGAATATCTGCGCACGGGCGAGTGTCAACGCTTGGCACATCCCCGCGTCGTTTTCAGGATGGGAAGGGGACCGAGGGTCCCGGCTGGCCACAGGGCCGTTCCCCATGGGGGGAAGGGGACCGAGGGTCCCGGCTGGCCAGAGGGCCGTTCCCCATGGGGGGAAGGGGACCGAGGGTCCCGGCTGGCCAGAGGGCCGTTCCCCATGGGGGGAACGGGACCGAGGGTCCCGGCTGGCCAGAGGGCCGTTCCCCATGGGGGGAACGGGACCGAGGGTCCCGGCTGGCCAGAGGGCCGTTCCCCATGGGGGGAAGGGGACCGAGGGTCCCGGCTGGCCAGAGGGCCGTTCCCCATGGGGGGAAGGGGACCGAGGGTCCCGGCTGGCCAGAGGGCCGTTCCCCATGGGGGGAAGGGGACCGAGGGTCCCGGCTGGCCAGAGGGCCGTTCCCCATGGGGGGAAGGGGACCGAGGGTCCCGGCTGGCCAGAGGGCCGTTCCCCATGGGGGGAAGGGGACCGAGGGTCCCGGCTGGCCAGAGGGCCGTTCCCCATGGGGGGAAGGGGACCGAGGGTCCCGGCTGGCCAGAGGGCCGTTCCCCATGGGGGGAAGGGGACCGAGGGACCCGGCTGGCCAGAGGGCCGTTCCCCATGGTGGGAAGGGGACCGAGGGTCCCGGCTGGCCAGAGGGCCGTTCCCCATTGGGGGAAGGGGACCGAGGGTCCCGGCCAACCAGAGGGCCGTTCCCCATGGGGGGAAGGGGACCGAGGGTCCCGGCCAACCAGAGGGCCGTTCCCCACGGAGAGGGGACCGAGGGTCCCGGCTCGTGACATGCGGAGATAGAGAGAGAAAGATCCGCGGGGGACGATCCGCGGGTCGAGGAGCCCGAGGCGGGGGGAGAGGAGCGCGAGGGGACCAAGGGGATCGCGGTGCTCGGGCCGGGGGGAGAGGCGGACGCGGGACCACCGGAAGGGCAAGAGCCCCGCTGCTAGGGGAAGAGGCGGCGATCGAGAGAACGGGTACGTGGCGGGAACGACACGACCGCCCTGAACGGACACTGGAGCCAGCCAATGGGGGTGAAGCTGCTTCTGACACCTCCCCGAATGGGAGCGAATTTATCCCGTCCGGCTCAGATGCATCGGAAGGAATCTCCTTGGGCGACGAGGAGGAGTTTCGCCACGATGGAGGCAGGGGACGGGGGAGAAGGACAGGAGCCGGTGGTATACCACAAGCCGCCAACGCAAGAGCTAGGCCGGTGGAGGGAGAGGTGACACAGCCATCTGAAAAATCCCCAGCTGACCTGGCAAACGACGAGAGCATCTGGCAGCTGGCCAGTACCTGGGACGTGGCACCACTGGTGCGTGTGGACCAGCCCTTCCTGGTGCGCCGAATGCCCCCTAAGGTCCTGGAGAGTTACACGATGTGCCTCTTGGCGCCTCTTCTGCGTCTGGCGAAGCACCCCGACTGCATAGGAGCATGGACAGTGCTGCAGTACCTGCCACGTTTGACCCTTCGGCCACAACCAGAGCCAGCGGAAGGCAACCGATGGATCAAAATTGAGACACGGCTACATCACTTCAGGCTTGGAGACCTTGCGGACCTCTACAGTGAGGCCTGCGCTGTACCCGTTACTGAAGCCCCGACACGCCACCAGCCTGATGACGCTGGGCTCTGTGCAAGGGCCGAGGGGTTGATTAAAAAAGCAAACATTTCCAAGGCCGTGGCTGCGCTACAAGTGACCCCGTTAGCGGAATCTACACCGACCACACTTGCGGCACTAAAGTCGAAACACCCCATGGGCGAGAAGCCTATCCCAAGCTGGGTTACCAGCAGGGCAGGCTCGTCAATTTCGTCAGTGTCTGTGACCCCTGACGATGTCCGCGAAGTCCTCGCGAAATGTCCAAATGGAGTGGGGGCTGGGCCATCTGGTACTTGCTTCGAGCATCTCAAAGACCCCGCTCACTGCAGCGAGGAGGTCCTGCTGCTCCTCACGAAGATTATCCGCCAGCTGCTCAACAACGAACAAACACAGGCTGTTCGTAACCTAATCCTGCCGTCCCGGCTGATAGCCTTGGAAAAGCCAGGAGGCGGCGTCAGACCGATAGCGATTGGGGAAGCATTGCTTAGGGTGGCCGCTAAAGCAGCACTGCGGGAACTGGCACCGGCGATACGGGAATTCTTTCTCCCCGTCCAGTATGGTGTCTCTGTGCCTGGTGGGGCGGAGTGTGTCATACACACAGTGCGCGCCCTGCTTCGTGAAAATGAGCACCATGTAGCACTACAGCTCGACGTCGAGAACGCTTTCAACTCGGTCGAGCGGGAGGCCTTCTTCTCAGCACTCCAGATCTCTGACCTGCATCAGCTTTTGCCGCTCGTGGGGACGCTCTACGACTCGCCCTCGCGACTCTTGGTCGACCCAGCGCTAGGCGTGGATCATATCATGAGTTCCAGAGGTGTCCGCCAAGGCGATCCCCTTGGTCCCCTCCTCTTTGTGGCGGCGATTCAACCGATTCTGACGTATGCGGCATCAACTCACCCGGGAGCGGCAGTCATAGCCTACGCTGACGACATTACCGTGGTGGGGCCGCGCGAGGTGGCCTTCCAGGCTTTTGACGTCATCGTCACGGAGCTTGCGAAGTGCGGGCTCCGTTGCAACATCGCGAAATCCTCGGCGTGGGGACCGGAGGGGCACGGGGAGGGACTGGAGGAACCGCCGCACGGCCTGACAGTGAGCCCAGACGGCATCAAAGTACTTGGCAGCCCAATCGGCACCCCAGCCTACTGTACCGCTCAAGTCCAACAGGCGTTAACCAAGGCAGCAGCTCCGGTCCCCCTGATTGCACAGCTTCACCCCCAGCACGCTCTGCTCCTGCTCAGTCGCAGCATCTCACGCAGGATCTCATACCTGCTCCGCACAACCCCGAGTTGTACACTTGAGCGGGAAGAGTGGAGGGCGTGGAGCGAGTCACTGCTGGGGGCGGCGCTCGCGTCGGCCAAGCTCAGAATCCCCTCAAGCGAACTCGAGCAGAGCCTCCTGTGGCGGCAGGCGACACTGCCCATACGCCTTGGCGGCCTGAGCATCATTGACCCAATCTCTGAGGCCCCGGCGGCATACATTGCTTCGCTGACGGCTGCCCATCAACTGCTGAAGCAGATGCACCTGCCCGATTCGGACCTCCTTGCCCACGTGGAGACCATACTCTCCAGGGAATGGGCTCCTCCCCCGCCAGCGGTGAACGTGATTGCGGCGCTGGAGGAGGAACTGCCGTTGGAGGCGAAGGCGGCTCTGCAAAGCTACAGGGAAGGGCCACAGGAGCAAGGGAACTTGCAGCTGCTGCTCTCCAAGCACATCAACATGGTTAGGGCAAGAGAGCTGCTAGCAGACACGATGGTGGATAGGCCGGGAGAGGATCAGGGGCATGGGGTCAGGCTAGTCAGTTTGAGGGGAGTGGGGGCGGGGGATTGGCTTCACGCGGTGCCAACGAGATCTGACCTTACATTTGCCCCTGGTCAGTTCTCGTTAGCACTCGGGTTCCGCCTCGGTATGGCTATGCCCGTTACAGTCAAGTGCCCCTGCAAGAAGGACAACTCCGACATCGACGACACTAGCCTAGCTAACCACCTGCTACGGTGTGGAGAGGGAGGGGATGTGGTACGGACACACAACGCTTTGGTTTATGCGGCCCTGCGAATGGCACAGGAGGCGGGGTCCTCCGCAAGCGCGCGGACTTGGCCTTCCAGGACCGGGAATCTGGAGAGACCTGGGTCACTGACGTCACAGTGACGGACCCGGTGCTTCAGAAGCGGGACCCAAGGGTTCGGAAGCCGCCAGGGTGGGCAGCCAAGGAGGCCTCTGAGAGGAAACACCGCCTCTACGAGGGCCGCCCGGACTATGTGGGGTTCCTGGGGCTGGCGGTTGAAACGTATGGGGCACTGGCGGCAGACACGGTCCAGTTCCTCCGTCTGCTGGCCGTGGCAACTGCTAAGAAAAAGTTCAGACAGGGGCCGCTCACTACCACAGCATCCAGGCTCAACGCACACTACCGGCAGCGCTGGTCGGTGATGCTGCAGCGCTCCCAGGCCATCTCCTTCCTCAACAAATCGAACATGGCAGCGGAAGCGGCGTACCCTCAAGCACCGTTGGATCCCTGGGAGCCTAGCCTCGGGGACCTCTGGCAGGTGCTTGACGACGACCTGGGAGGAGTGTAGAGGCCGGGGAGCGGGAGCAGTGGTTGCAGAGGCGGGTAGGCAGGTTCGGGAGGAAAGGGGGCCTGGGGGATGAGGGTGCTGGCACAGGGGGCTCTCGGACGTGGGTTAAGTTTGCTTAGGACGGCCTGTGCCTTATGTTTGCTAGTGTGCTTGTCTTGCCTACCCACTTGCTAGCCTGCCTAGAACAGTCTACTGGCTGTGTCCCGTCCTTGCATGTCTGTACCTTATAAGCAACATAAATACATGACCGCTTGAGAGAGAAAGAGACACGAGAGCTGGCACACGGGTCATTGTGCCAAGGAAGGAGTATATGCACATTGCGACAAGCTTGTGATATGTAGAAAAAAGGGGACTTACCCTATGCCATCCTTGGCTGCCGGTATAATGCCTTTCAAAATTGTTTTTGCCCTGGTACGTGTCCTTGTATGTGCCTTTGTATTGGTTGTCCAAGACAGATCTTGCGGCATTGGTTACATTATAAAATGCTCGAATTGAGAGCCTTGGTTACAAACCACCTTGAACATGGCTTGAGAAACGATTGTCCTTGTCGAAATGAATCTACAATGGCTTTAAGGCTTTAATATGCTGCCCTTGACTCAAACAAGGAACGGAGATACACCTGCTCTCACATTGAGTCTGAGGTTTTGAACACAAAATGAAAAATTTCTAAGCGTTTATCGCTTTCAAATTTGTGTATTGCGAAAGCGAAGCTGACTGTAACGCAATATTGTGCATCGTCGAAGTGGGCTACTTGCCTTCTCCGAATATATAATGTGGGTTGGGGGTCATTCTTCCCCACCCACGTTTCTCATTTTTACAATCGCTCAAGTTCAATTCCCACCCACCCTTCCCAATCTAGTCATGTTTGGAGAGTAGTAGTTCTTTCAGATCTTAATTGTTTGTTAATACATCAGTACTATAGATAGGAACCGTTGTACTTGAGCCCATTGTAATGAGAACGATGCCAATTGCTACAGAAAGCAAGCTTTCTCAATACAGACATTACCGTGCAAAGGGACAGTAGTATCGTGAATTCTGACGACGCGACCCGACATTGGTATGAAATTAAAGCCATCCAAGTTAGAGTTGGGGTAGTGTTGCTTGTGATCACTTATTTCTGCCTTGTTGTGATGTTTCTGGAACTCCCACATTAGATGACCTACTCATGATTGATTCTAGGTGTGATGTGTACATAGTACGCAGCTCTGTAAAAGTATCATGGCTGGAACATTTATTCTTGTACGGGTCTTTATCGCTCATTCATACGGTACATACCGCACGATCATTCACCATCTGATGAACTTCTCAAAGTCCCTAATGGTAATAAAAAGCCATACCGGTACCTCTGCGTTCACACTCCTCCTAGCGCAGCTCTCGCGTCGCATGCGCCCATCCCAAGCCATCCCGCCTGCTAATCCACTTGGTGATTTCATTCTGACGATCGTATGCCAGTCATGAGGCTTCATTGGCAAACTTGACCTCTCGTGTGCTCTCGTGGACAATCGCGAACGTGAAAAACAACTCTTGACAATAATTCTAGAGTAGTCACTAACGCTACTGTCATCGCCCGGATATAAGACATATATGTCTTCTCTCATACACTAAAAAAATGCTTGGGTTATCTTGTATTTGTCAAACTATATATGTGTTAGTTCTATGTAGGCTATAGTGGGGTAACCCATATGGGGTGCAACCCGAAGTTAGGGTTTGTACTTGTACCCACATTTCATTCAATGCAACCATTCCTGCTTGCTATCTTGACATGGTTTCAGAGCAGTAGGTCCGTAGGACCTTTTTTTTTTCGGGCCCACCGTACTTAGCTTCCGACTGCGGTTACCGCGTTACCCCACAACCCTGCGTCGCGCTGCCCCGCGCACGCCCTGCCTTGCCCCGCGTCGCGCTGCCTAGCGCCCGCCCTGCTTTGCCCTGCCTGGCATCACACTGTGCCAACGCCCTGCCCTGCGCCAGCGCCCTGCCCTGCGCCAGCGCCCTGCCCTGCGCCAGCGCCCTGCCCTGCGCCAGCGCCCTGCCCTGCGCCAGCGCCCTGCCCTGCGCCAGCGCCCTGCCCTGCGCCTGCGCCCTGCCCTACGCCCGTGCTGCGGCCCTGCGCGTCGCGCCCTACGGCTGCCTGCGCGTCGCACGCTGCTGCCCCGCGCGTCGCGCTCTGCTGCAGCCCGCGCGTCGCGCCTTAAGGCAGCCCACGAGTCGCGCGCTGCTGCCTCGCGCGTCGCGCTCTGCTGCAGCCCGCGCGTCGCGCCCTAAGGCAGCCGGCATGTCGCGCTCTGCTGCCCCTCGCGTC